TTTTTTTCTTTTTTTTCTTTTTTTTTTATTTATTTTTTTTTTATTTTATTTTTTTTGTCTTTCTGTTTTGTTATTACTATTATTTTTTTTCTTATGCTATCATTTCTTGTCCTTGATATCATATTTGCTGAATACCAATGTAGATGGCAAATTTATTGTGAGCCAGAAATATGTATATCTAATAAATAAATAAACTATATGTAAACTTTTAAATGTTTTTCTAAGATTGAAAAAAAATTATTTATAGGTTAAATATTCAGATATACTTTCAAACCTCTGTAGGCATGTATGAGCATTTCGGTTGATAGAATGACTAATTCCAATTTCACCATTTTTATTATTAATTTTAGTGACGAAATTTATACCTTTGTTCACAGTTCTGTATTTCAACACTGCAATCACCTACTCTGTAATCAAAATACTCGCTGTCTGCATAGATAACTTTTTCAAATAAAAATATCACTAAAATGACAATACCCAAAAATGTTGAAATTGGAGTTAGTCATTCTGTCAACTGAAAAGCTCAGAGACTGAAGTTGTGTAGTTTATAAAAGCAGACGGAGTGATTAGATTTTTATTGCCTACTGTCGATATAATAAATAGACTTTCTGTAATTTTAATGGTTTTAATGACTTGTTATCTGTAAGTTTTAACCTTTAGCTCCGTTTAAAATGCACTTCAAAAATTTTATAATAGCCTAGCATTGCCAGAAAATAATTTCTTTTTAAAGTAGAGCAGTAAGCGAAGGTTGTGCTCACCAGATTTTTTCCTTTCAAAAACAAATTTTTTTCATCATTTTCTGGAACCAAAGGGCTGAAACAGTGGTCTTGTATGTCTCCAAGCATTTTCAAGTTATACTTGCATAAGGTAGTGAAGCAATGGATGAGACGAAGTCGATTACGGAGTGTACTTTGACGACGACGAGCTCCTTATCCTGTTCTTCGCAGACGATCAAGTAGTGATGGCCCGGAAGAAAGCTTTCCTGGAGATGGTGGTTGTCCAATTAAAGAAAGCTTATGAAGAGGCAGGTCTCAGGATAGATTTCCAAAAGACTGAGTATATGCCACTGGGAGATGAGGAAGACCATCTACGCATAGGTGAACAGGTATGTAGAAGAGTAAAGGTATTTAAATATCTATTATAAAATTTTTGAAGTGCATTTTAAACGGAGCTCATAAATCATAAATAATAAACATAAAATAAAATAAAATAATGGTGAATGAAAAGAAAAAAAAATTATCTTTGTTTCATAATACATAATTAACCAGCGTCTGATTGGATTGTGAAGAGGAATTGGATTAAGAGGGTTTTGAATGTGGATAAGAGATTTTAAGCATGGTGGATTTTAAATGGGATAGAATTCCAAAAGGTGCAGGAGCCGACAATAAAGGAATGTTGAAATGAAGCAGATCTATGGAAAGGGGAGTCAAGGTCAGAAGGACGGGATCTTGTGGAGACGAACAATACATGAGATACAGGGTATAATAATATATCAAAAAAAAATATATGAAATGATGATTAAATGGTCCTTGATCTGCTGAGAAGATCATAAAACTATAAATCTGATTAAACTAACTTTAACTGACTTACTGTTACTGAGAAATCAGTAAACATTCGAAATTAAAACAGGGTTAAGACAAGGAGTTTTGGACAAAATTATGAGAACACTTTGGAAATAAAATAAATCTGGGTAAGGATACAGGAGTAAAGAGATGGAGTAAAAAGAAGGTTCTTGGCTTTTCGTGGATGACCTAGCACTTATAACGGAAAGTGAATAAAAGGCAGTTAATCAGATAAATGAACTGAAGGAAATAAAAGAAAGACCCTGGTCAAAAATATCATTTGAAAAAACCGAAATAGTGACTAATGATAAGGGAAAAAAAGGAAAAATTTGAGACTAAATACGGATAAATCGGTTTGGTGAAACAGTTTAATTGAAGGAGTTAATGTATGGAAGATGGCGAGAGTGAATTACTTGGAAGAGGAAGGATGCCAGGAAATACTTACGGCAGTTGGAAGGATAAAGCCACTTCAACTCTTCATAGAAACAGAAAACAGGGGCGTCTCTTGGGATCCCGAAGATGAATCGTACAAAGCAATTTATCAAATGTTTTAGTTTCCCCATTTCGATCCCCAGAGACACCTCCATATACCGTGCAGCAATAGTCGAAATGGGGAAATATTAAGGAAGTGATCAGAAGTCTGCGGATTTCAAAAGGAAAAAGGTCTCGCAGGCTATTTAAGTGTTTTCAGGATAAGCAGAAATTTTAGTATTAACTTTTCTTATATGGTTCAGCTGATGACACTAGAGTATCCAAGATTTTATTTTGGGAGGCTTCAACTTAAAAGCTTTTTTTTTTTAGATACAACATTAACTATATTGGAAGAAAAAGAAAACAACTAACTATCTATATAAAGTGGTGTTTATGTGATTCTAGAAGCCCTATTAAATGTAATAACATGAACAATAATACTTAGATAATTTTATTATATTTTTTTTCAGCCCAAAAGCCTTCCCTCCTTATATCCCTCTGAAACTTTATAATGAAACTTTACAAATAACAACTTTATAATGATTGAGTACTGAATATTTATCACCCATTATATATATATATATATATATAAAGTGCCGGCCTTAGGGTGGAGCATGTGGGGCAATCGCCTCGGGGTGCCGACTTGGAGAGAGGCACAAACCATTTGTAAGAAATAAAAAAAAGTTAAAAAACATATTAAAATAATTGATTTTAACCTATTAATAAAGTAACTGTATTAGAGAAATGTTTAATGAAAAATAAAATTAAGAAGTAAAATTCAAATATTACATAATATAAAACAACTTAAGAAATACATTTAATTATTTTAGGAAGGGTGTAAGATTATGTCATTTCCTGGGGTCGCTGAATATCTAAGGCCAGCGCTGTATATTTTTTTTTGCTCAAGACTTTAATTTAAGTCCTATACGGCTCATATTTCTATATTATCAAATACTGAAGGTAGAGCTATAATTTATTTTTTAAAAGTGTTTTTTAAATTCTTCTATAAATCTGAACAACGACTGAATCATATCCCTGTTTATATCTATTAGAATATATTTTTTATCGAACCTTAAGTAGTCTCAAGTTCTAAAAAAAACAAATAATTAACATTGTAAAAAAGGGGGTAACTTTACTTCTTGTGGGTAAGATTACTTTAAAACTAAAATAAATTTTTTGATGATATAAACAAAAATCATCAGGCTTCCATATGAACCAGAAAGTTGTTTCTAAAACTTTGATATAAATGAGTAATTACAATTTTGGTGTAATGTTCTCCATTTTATGATAATAATTGTGATTTGTTCTTATTTTAAAATTTTAATTCTCACTTATTCTCATTTCAATCAATGCTGATATTAATTTATTTGCATCATAACATAAATAGAATGAAAAAATTATTTTCATATAAATATTTTTAATTTTCTTATTGTTATTTCGATGATCTTCTAGCAATGGGGTTAGAATTTGTTTTACACATGTAATTCGGTTACTCATTTTTGCCATTTTATTTAATTCATTAGATCTAAACAAAGATTTGGTATATTTAAGCGAAAAGTTGCCTTTCTTGTTCAGAACAATTAAAAATCATAGGAAAAAAATATTTCTCTTATTGAAAATTTGAAAGTGCTCATTGAAACTATTGAAAGGCTATGTGATCCATCTACAATCAAAACATATTTGCTAAAACTGAAGATTGAAGATGTAATAATAATAATAAAAAGTAATCATGGTTTAGCCTTAATTCAGGACAAAATACAAAAGGACTATAATTAGAGGTTTAGCATTTTTTTCTTACGTATTTCATGTTTTTTACATATATGTTCAAACACTTTTTAAATAATGACTACAAATTTTGGATTTTTAACCAATTAAAAAATCCAAAATTTGTAGTCATTCTTGTAAACAATCAATGTAATCTTGGCGCTATTCCCGAGAAAATTGGTACAGTTTAGCTACATCTTACCCGTGGACTGTTCTATGGGCAAATTTATATAGGCTGAGTAAAAAGTGAATAAATTAGGATGTTTAGATCATGCAGTCTTGTTAAAGTGTACTTTACTGGCTTAAAATATTAATAAATTGTAAAATTAATATTATAAAATAACTTTTTAAATTAGAAATTTAAACAAGTACAACAATTGAGACTCGTAAAATGAAATAAATAATTTCTTGACTTGAAAAACTAATGATATTTACAACAGGTAGCAAAATGAGATAAATATAGGCAAGTAATACATTAACTATGCACATCAAACATATAAATGAAAACAACAAAAAAATTAATTTTTTATTAACAGAAATTTTACATGGTTTCAAATTAATATATTTCATAAAATTCTCTTCTTGACATTTACATTTTTATTATAATACATACAAGAATTCATTACAAATACTTTCAATACACACATGAACTACAATTATTGATTCTTAAGCAATTAAAGCTATACAATGCCAAAAAAAACTTTTTGAATGATTATTTTATAATTATTTTTTTAATAATTATAAACATTCAACATGATTATTTAATTTTTTTTTGTTGTAAAAATGTCTTATTCAAATTGAATATATATTAGAAAATAAAATAAATGCAACACTCTGTACATATTTTGAAGAAATATTTGATAGTTTAAAAATAACTCATTTGAAAATTGACAATTTACAATTTATTTAACGTATTACTTCTTTTCATTACTCATAAGGCATTGTAAGTAATATTATAGATTAACAATTTTACAATAATAAATATACTATAAATATAGGAGTATAAAATAAAACTTTGGATACTGAGCAGTTTCCCTAACTGCAGATTTATAAATAGAATTCATATCATGAAGATGGAATAATGATTTCAATTCTGTTATTTCATTCTCATGCACCGTAACAAATAATATTTTTTATGAAGCTGCACATTCTTCATAAATTTTGAATTTTTAGCAAGATGTTGATTTGCTTGTTAAACCTATATCATCTGAACCTCATTACTAGCTTATAAATAAGATAAAAAGTTACTAATTTTCCTACTCTTTGTAACCAAAGCAGCCTGAAACAATTTTAAAGATATGTAGTGATTAAATACAAAACATGTTTTAAATTAGATCAAGAACACAATATCATATTTACATACACTTGCTGAAATGGTAAAAATTAAATTCATCATATGTGGAAATTTAATATGAATGCCAAATAAGCTATCCAAGGGTGATGGCGCATGCACCTCTCCCCCTTCCAGGAAATTCACTTTTTCTCATTTATTAAAGGGTGGAAGTGAAAGCAGGATAGGTAAAATTGTAGTTATTTACAGTTACAATAGATGTGGTTTGTTACATGTTTTCTCTGGCTAGAAATTTCCACAAAAATATGGTGATATATGTAATAATAGAACTGATCTGTCTATTACTGTTTAAAAAATTATTCATAAACTTCAAGTGATAGTTTAAATTATCTCATTCAAATTGGAAAGTTGATTATTTCAAATCGTTCGATAAAATTGTTACGCGATTACAATTCAGCAGGTATTCTTATAAATAGATGCATTTATGATCTACAAAATTAAATAGCTATAAATAAAGGTAATAAAACCTCAAGAGAACTTTATAGAATTATTTACCTGTTTAATTTTTTCATTGCTGCTGGAAGTGAATCAAGGGAATCCTTTAGACCATATTTTCTGATTCCAATTAGGAAAAGTTTGACGTAGTCATCCCAACCAATTTTTGAGACTTCTGTATGAAAAACAGAACGATCATGCTCACTCATGTCGTTGTTCAAAGCAGCTTGGTTATCACAATAAAATTTCCATTCATGAAGAGAAAAAAATTCTCCAGATTTGGCAGCAAAACGAATTCTTTTGCAGAGTTTCAGCATGCTAAAACAAGAAAATAATAAAAATTAAGGAGAAGTAAACAGTACTCATATTGCAATGTTTCGATGATTTTTTAGGCTCACCTTATAGAAGATAACACATTATTTACATTTATACACTTTTATTAAACTCAAAATATCATATACTGGTTATTATAATTGTATTTTACCTTTTGTATATTTTTCTTATGTATATTTACGATGGTAATTTAAGTATATTTTCTCCTTTTCATTTACTATCCAAATCCTTTGTAATTTATCTATATTTTAAAAAGAACCATATACTTGAATTGGGAACAGTGTATCTCAGTGAGTAAGGTACTCTGCTGCTGTGCTCTAGGTCTCTGGTTTTAGTCTGGCTGCGGTAGATAATTATTTATTCTGTTACATCACCTGCAGATCAATCCTGGGATCAGGAGATGCTGCTGGCATACCCAGCCTCAATGATGTAGGTACTCTTAATTAATTATACATTAAAGGGGAAAACATGGCGGTTCAGTATGATTTCAGCCAAATCGCACCTCTCTGGGAACACCAATGGCGTTGAAATAGTACTTCCTTACGAGATCCTGTACCCAAAGTGAGACAGGGCAGCTGAACGGGCTATCGTGTGTGGAAAACATGTATTGTTGGGAACCTGATTAAATGAAGATTAGAAGTTCAAATCCTGGTTCGCAGGAAGAGAGGAGAGAAGTCCTTATAACTCTAGTATAATTTCCTAGATTTCTTTCTAGGTTCTGCAAAAACCCTGTATAGCCAAAAAGGTGAGGAAGGGGACAAAAAAAAAGAAAATAAAGTACTATATAATTAATTAGAATGCATAGTTTACCAAGAAATTCAGATAAATAAATTTTCACTACCTTTAAAACAGTTTGACCAAATAATCATACACCAAAGTTTCCAGATAACATCATATTATAATTGGAAGGTTGGTGTTGGTGATTAAATTTTGTAATATTTCTTTTATGTTTTTGCAGTAGCTTCTCTTCATGATGAGGGTATATATACTGTCTCCAGCTATAACTAGTTACGTCGAAAAATGGTCCTCATGGGTTCTGTTACTTGAGATCATCTTCCAAGCCTTTTAAACACCATGAATAAATTAGTAAATTCACAGTTCTCGTCTAGACCACTAAAGGTTTTAGTACTGTGGGTAACCAACTTCTTCGTGGTGTTTAGAAGACTTGGATGTCAATTCACAGAGCTAGTAAGGACCATTTTTCGACTAAATTAGTTATGGCCAGAGATCGAAGATATATTTTCATGCACTAGAGGTTCTTTAATGAGTTTGTGTCTATCCTTTAATAGTAGGTAACACTTTAAGTATAAGTGATGACACTAGATCCTTCCTAATTTTGTATGCATATCAATTTAAGTTATTTGATACATATTTATAGTGTATTGAAACTAAAATCTTCAAATAAGCAAAAAAAAAAAAAAAAATTTGTATGAATGGTTTAGTAAAATAAGTATGTTCTGGAGTAAATTGTAATTGAAGGTTATTTTTCTAATCTAATATACTCTGGAAATACTTGACAATGAAAAAGCAGATAAGTTGGCTAGGAAAGGCTCTGAGAGCACCCCAATTAAACTGGGACCAGTTCGTAGCATAAGCATTTATAGTGCTAAAAGAACAAATAAGGTGACTTATGGTGAAAAAATTAAACAATGTACACAAAATAAAAATCAGTGAAATTCCAAGTTATTTCTGGAATGATCCTTTGAAAACAGAAGCAAACAGATAGGATAACTTTAAGTAAAATATTTTACTAGCCACTGTAAACTCAAAAAGTAGATGTTTAGCCTCAAACTAGCAGAATCATTAGCTGAAAACTTATGATAAGGTGCATAATAAGACAGAGAATCATGGAAGTTGCAAAAAAAAAGTTATATAAACCAAAGAGACTTGCAACAATGAATAATCAAAAAATGTTTCTTAAAATTAATAATAATGTGTAAAATATTTCAGTTATTCAGGATTATTGATAAATTAGTTCTATTAATTATTACAATGAATATTTAAAAAGAAGAGTATAAGATTTGAACATAAGATTTGTAATCAAGTAGGGAAATAGCCACTCTCTTTGTCCTCTTGAATTTTATTCTTAAAAAAAATTTTCTTAAAGAAAATACTTGTCACCAGTCTCACTCCTGTGGTGTTATGAAATAAGTGACCATATTTGGAAATTTTAGGGGTTTTAGATTTACAACAGTTTTAGGCCTAATAACAAAGACAAACGGACGAACAACATAAATCATGCATTATAGTGATTATCTACTCTTTTTTAAACATATTTAAATGACTACAGAAAATGATGCTGGACACACAACATAATAATTTTAAATTTACCTCCAAAAAACCTTGTTATTAAGTAAATCTATAAATGTTGGCCTTTTCAGGCCTTTGACAACTGTTGGCTGAAAAATTAAATTCCTAAAACATAAAATTAAAATTATGGACGTTATGCATTAAATAGGGAGGTAACAAGTTGACAAATAAATGTTAATGGACTGACCATCAAGAATGGTTAATACCAATAATTCTGAGAGACTTTAAACCAGTTAAATTCATGATTTCACAAATCACTACTGTGATATATTCTTAAATTTGCCAAAGAAATAGTCAAAAGAAAACTACCAAATAGTTTTAGACAGTTACATTTAAATACTTATAAATGGTTTCCAATCAACTACTAATCAACATAACTAATGTCTTTTGATGGCATTATTAAAAATAAAATAAAAAAGGCATGTTTAAAATTACATTTCTTGAATATTTTATGCCTTGCACTTCATGCAGTATTGACCTTAAATTCCTACAGAATATTTGTAATAGAACAATAGTGATTCTTGGTGTAATTCTCAAAAATTGTTGGTTATTAATTACTCATTCGAAACATGTGTCATAGTAATTACATTTGGAAAATGAAATAGTCACTCTCAACATTTGATTTTAGCTATTTTCATATCAGTAAGGGTTGCATAAACCCGCAAGAGCCATATTTTTGTCTCACTGAGTATTGTGCATTTAATTGAAAGTATTGAACAATGAGTGCATCAAAAGATTTAGAAAATACTTGTTTTATACAGCCATTAATGAAGAATGAATTTAAGGGGCACTAAACAGTAACATGTCCTTCTAATGAAGTTTAGTTTTCATGTTTAGAATTTACAAAATAATGAACCTGAATTTTAAGGAATTTATATTATTTTATGGCATATTATCTTATTGGGCTAGTTAAGTAAATATCAATTCTAATAATCTAATTTTTCTAATCTGTATAAATTTATATATTTTTACTTTTACTTTATTGTAGCTGAAAATGTGAAAGCTTTCACAAAAGGAAATTTTCAGAAATAATGTTCATAAATTTATTTTTAAAATGACTAATAAAATAAATCTAGATCAAAATTTGAAATGCAATGGCTATGCCCTATAATAGTTTTTGTGATACTTTAAATTATTTGATGTTAAAAGAATTTGTTGGACACAATTATATTTTATCCATATTTATTCTGAAGGCTAATAAAATTACTTACATAGGTTTAGCTCCTCTAATACGAAGCAATACATCCATCATAAATGCAGGAAAAGTATGGAGTAGAACATCCTTTACATTGTGCATCAACCTATTTGTTGTGAAACTGAATCCAGGGTACCACTGGACATACTTTGATGGTGTGGAATAAGAGTGTTTCAGAGTTAAAATACCAAGTTGTTTCCAGGTAATGGGATTAAGGGTACCTGATGTACAGTTATAAACAGGAACTACACTTTTTCTGAAAAAAAAGAGAAAAGTATTAAAATTTATTTATTGAAATATACAACTGTATTCATGTAACATAACAAGTAAATACGAAGAATGAGTATAGCAAAGCATTTTATTAACTTGTTAGGAAACCACCCATTGGGAGCACTTCATTAACTAAACTGGCGAACAACACAACATACACATACTTTTTAAAATTAGTTTCTCCAATTTTCGGCAAACCTTTTGTATTATATTGTGTTTTATTTTCTTTCAAATTATTTAGGGAAGAGCAACTGCCCCCGTGTTTCCTCTGTGTATCCCCATGCTGGTTTAGCAAATACATCACAACTCATAAAAAATCATTTATTTAAGAAAAATATTGTATTACATTTAATTTAAAATTTAACTAAAAAAATCCAAAATTTACATTAAAATTACATTTACATTAAGTGTGGGGATTCCAGTACCAAAGACGAAGTTTGAAAAATACTCCAACATGCTCTGTCAGATTAAGGTCTAGATTTTTCTCTGGTTATTTAAGAAATATAATAATAACCTCTTATATGTTCTGAACTACAGTTTGAGCTTGTATGGTTGTTTATTTTCATATTTCATTTGATATTTTTATTCAGAGTAGGGAGGAAATGGCAATCAGATGACGAGGCCACCCTATTGGCTTAAAATATCAATGCTGGATTGAAGGCAGAAGCTTATCCCAGAAGGGTATGCCAGACTGGTAGAATGACTGTATGAGAGGAATAAGCTGAGGATGGATCCCAAGACCTAGGCTATCACTTAAGAGGCACAATTGATAGGGCAGGAAGGTTATCTACCTATGATAAAGTGTTATTGTGCTTCTCAGTGTTTTGTATTTTTCAAGTTTGTTTTGTTAGTTTTGTTGTATCGTTTCCTACTGTTTGTGTTATTTTAGTGTTTTATAGTTTTTTGAACATGATTTAGTTTTAGTTTATGTTTATTTAGTTAATTTTATAAACTTTTTGAGTGAACAGTGGAGGTTAAGGTTAACTTTGTGGTTTTCACGAAGGTTTAATCTAACCAAAAGGACGTTTAGAGACTATTACGTTGGTGAAGCACTAAGGTAAGTTCATATTAAAGTCTTACTTTTGAAGATAGGAAATTTATAAGTTTCCCGAACGTAGGTTAGATTTTGAGTGTTGAATATTTCCTTCTACTGTTGTTCACCCATTATTTCAACGTATAAAGTTGTTAATTTTGGATTGCGTAAGATGGCTGATGAAATTGCATCAGCAATGGAGCAGGAAATGGTGGAAGAACAGGCTATAAAGTGCCCAAGGCCTTCAGCAAAGAGGCAAAGGAAAGGATCTCCTGACGCCCGAGAAGAAACAGATAAAGAACGTGTAGACGATAGTCTTCTGCAAGATGCACGTAGAATCAAAGAAAACATCAGGGTCTACATGAACGCAACAGACAGGAACGTGAGTGCGAAGGTACAAAAGCACGTTAATGGGAAAATTCAGCAGTTAATAGATATAATGGAGACAATATATGATAAGAACTATGAAAAAACGTTTTTAGTACAACGTGTGGTAAAGGACACATTAGCTTCCTCTGAAATGTATGATATCATAGTAAATGCATTAGTGGAAAAAGCAGTACCTATGGTTATCGAGGGACTCAAGACGGAAAGTAAAACCATACAAAGACCACTGTCAGAACCTCAGACATCTCGGGAGTTTCCATGCGTTAAAGAACAACCGCTATTAGCCGATGCCCACGCTATTATTGAGACCACGGAGAATGAAAGTTTCCAGGAAGTAAAGAAAAAGCAAAGAAGGAAAAAGGCTCTTCCACAAGTGGCCAAAGAGATCGAGGCCTCTAAACCAATAGCAGAGGAAAGTTTGACCAAAAAAAGGTCTACACATCAGACTACGATGGCCGATATTGTTAAAGGGCTTCCATTAAAACCGATGGATACTACAAGACCAACTTATGTTACCATCGCTTCTCAATGTAAAAGTGCAGCTGACATCATCAACAATCTGCCTTCTCCAACTGAACTAGGAGTCAAGGCGAGAGTTGTACGGGCGACCAAAGCTGGCTCAGTTTTAGTTTGTGTAGATGAGGGTGCCCATGCGAAAAAAATAATTGAATGGCAAAAATTAAAAGAAGTTGGAATGGAGGCAAAACTAGCCTTAAAAAGAAAACCAAAAGTGGAGGTAAAAGGAGTTCCCCTTTCATGGACTGCGGAAAATCTAGAAAGGATGCTATGGGAAAGGTTGGCTGCAAAATCGGCCGTTATTTCTGAGAACCAATTAGGTAATATAAAGCCATTGTTCTCATCAATGGCTAGAAATAAAATTACCAATAATTGGGTGTTAGAAGTACATCCAATGGTAAGATATAATCTACTCAAGGAGGAAATAATTACAGGAGGTTGGTGGTCACTGACAATCTTAGATTACCCCGATGCTCCTCCCTGTCTAAGGTGTCAGGGATATGGACATACAAAAGCTACTTGTGAGGCAAATGGCATAGTATGCAAGTGGTGTGCGGCGAGTGGGCATATTGCTAAAAACTGTCCCGCAAAAGGAAATAAGACCGCACCTACATGCGTTAACTGCGTGAGGGAAGGTGTTCAAAAAAGTAAGGCTAAACACCAGGCAGGAAGTAGAGAATGCCCAGTGCACATCAAGAGATCTCAAGAATTAGTGAGGAGAACTCACTATGATTAGACTCAACATCCTACAGTTGAATATGGGCCGCCGGCATATTGTGGCTGACGAGCTTCGCGCCATGGCACAACGCTACGATATCATGGCGGTCCAGGAACCTAGCTGCCGTGGGAACAGGGTTACGGGGTTTGGCCTCACGTCAAGAGTTATAGCCCTGAGCAGTGGAGAGAGGAGGCCCAGGGCTGCAATAGTGATTAATAATCCTAACCTTGACGTGATGGATCTGAGACAACACACCATGGCGGATTATGCATCTTGCTATGTTAAGTGGGGCAAGATTTCTTTCACATTGGTATCGGCATACCTACCTGTGAATAGTGATGTAGAAGAAAGCATATCCGCTATGGAGGCGATCATTAGAGAGATGAGGAATGTGATCATGTGCTCAGATACCAACTCCTGGAACACGGTCTGGGGGTCCAATATTACTGACAGGCGAGGCGCTAAAATGGGAAATTTCATAGGCAGAAATCACCTTGTCGTGATGAACGAACCCTCTGCCACCCCTACCTTCTCTGGAGGCATGGGGCAGAGTTGGATTGACGTCACGATCGCCACGCCTGCGCTTACGAGGTATATTGCTGATTGGACTCTCAGATCTGATACGAGTTCCGATCACGTTGCGATAGCAATTGGCCTGGTAAATGAGCCAGGATGTTCCCACGGTACTGATAAGGGTTTCGTCACTAAAATAAATGACTGGAGTGTCTTCAGGTCCTACCTGGAAGGAGTGATTGCAGACGAGGAGTGGGAAGCGGCAGAGATGGATGTAGTTGACAATCTGGACTACAAGGTGTCCAGGATTACCAACAACATTCGTGATGCTGCCGAACACTCCCTCAAGCACCGGAAGGCGAGGGTTCGACCTGTCCCATGGTGGACGCCAGCCTTAACTGTTCTAAAACGAGACCTCTACAAGGCCCGGCGGTCATATCAGAGGTGCAGATGCGAAGAGAGGCGCACTGTACTTCGCAATGAGTACAAGTCAAAAGCCAGGATATACCGAAACGAGGTTCGCTCACAAAAGCGGAAGTCTTGGGATGATTTCATCATTGAAGAGTCTTTGAAGAATCCCTGGGGTATTCCGTATAGGGTAGCATTGGGTAAGTTGTCCCCGATGCAGACTATTGCAGCCTTGCGGTATCATAATACTGAGGCAACCACCCTTGAAGAAACTGCCAATGTTTTCATTGAAGCAATATATCCCAGAGATGACCCAACCCAGGACAGCGAAAATGATGATTTTGTGAGACGCACCACGGTATATCCACCTGGTTCAGATTTGTGCCCACCATGGGACATTCACGATCTTCGTATTGCCGTGGATAAGCAGAAGACTAATCGTGCTCCAGGACTTGATGCAATAGATGCAGCGATCTTGAGGAACAGTATCACGTATATTGAAGACCGGCTGTTGAGTATTTTCAATGAATGTCTGGATATGGGATACTTTCCAAGAAGATGGAAGATCGCTGATTTGAGACTACTCTACAAGGGAGGAGATAGGGACAAACAACTCCCTAATTCATATAGACCTATATGTCTCCTCCCTGTGATTAGCAAGGTCCTGGAGAACCTCATGATGACTAGTTTACGGCCAGTTTTCGCTAGAGCAAGTCATCCACGGCAATATGGATCAACCAGAGGCAGAGGAACCGCTGATGCCCTGCTGAGAGTGCGCAGAGATGTTGAGGAGAGGGCGGAGCGGTATGTCATGTTGCTTCTTTTCGACATATCCTCCGCCTTTGACAGCGTATGGTGGCCTAGCGTGCTTCAGCAGCTGCAGAGGTATGATGCTCCTAGTAACTTATACACATTAGTAAGAAGTTATCTCCAGGATAGAAGTGTCAAGATTAGAGGCAATTACTACGAGGTAGAAGCTTCCATAGAGAGAGGTTGCCCTCAGGGATCGGTGCTTGGTCCTGCTCTATGGAAGCTCGTCTTTGATGAGTTACTGGGAGTGTTAGAGGAGGAGCGGTTTCCTGCCACTGCTTACGTTGACGACCTAGCTGCTGTGGTGGCCTCCAACAGCAGAGCTGGAGTCAAGAGAGAAGCAGAGCGATGCGCCAGCCTAGTCGCTAGATGGTGTGAGGGGAAGAAGATGAGGATGGCTGCTGCTAAGACTCAAGCCATCCTCCTTAAGGGAAAGACTGATAGGGCACACCCTATAACGATGTACATAGAAGGTCAGAGGATACGTCCAAGTGAGGTGGTAACCTACCTAGGGGTTAGGTTAGGTGTAGGCCTCAATATGACGCCTCATTTGGAATATCTGGCAGGTAGGGTGGCCCTAGCAATGAACGGTCTAAGTCGTGTGGGGGGCGCATTTTGGGGCCTTAGGTATCCAGCCACTATCACTATTTATAAGGGTGTTGTGGAGGGTATCCTTAGGTATGCGTCTCCCTTCTGGTTCCGAAACCTCACACTCAGACAAAGAAATAGGCTAGCATCGACTCAGAGAACTGCTCTGCTTCGGGTCACCAGAGCATATAGGTCTACGTCGCATGAAGCAGTGCAGGTCTTAGCGGGGGTGGTGCCTCTCGACCTCCTCCTGCGAGAAGAAGTGACCAGGTACGACTACAAGAAGGAGGGCTCAACTAGTCTGTCGGAGAACCTACGGATGAGGATTATTGAAAACCCAAATAAATGGAAAAAGATTATCCGGGAGGAAACAATTGAAGATTGGAGCAGACGGTGGGTGACGACTCCGAAAGGCAGTACCTTAAGAAAATACTTTCCCACCGTTGAATCTCGGTTACAGGCGAAATGGGTCCTCCCGGACTATTGGGTTTCACAATTTCTCACGGGACATGGGGGTTTCAGAGCTAAACTCCATGGCTTCGGACAGGATATAGATCCCCACTGCCCGCTTGTGGTGTTCCGGAGACTGTTGAGCATGTGGTCACGGCCTGCACTGCTTTCGACGAATTAAGAGCGAGGTTAATGAGAACGACGGGAATTTACGTCCTCACTGAGGAGGAGTTTCCTCAGTTGGTGAGTGAAGAAAACTTTCCGCGGTTCAAAGACTTTATAAATGGCTGGAAGACGGCGGTGGGCCCAGCTCACTTCAACCTAGGTGCACACAGAAGGAGAAGAGGACCAGTCCCAGGAAGACCTCCGGATTCGGGAAGCCAGGCCTAAAGGAGCCAGGAAAAAGTAGAAGAGCTAGCTGTGTGCACAGCTTAGAATTTTGTAAACTGATATTATGGCAGTAGTGTGTTATTATGCATTAATGCTTAACATCACACTACTGCATACACCCGTGTTGCCCTGGTGGCATGGGAGGGTTGGGAAACAAATAAAAAAAAAAAAAAAAAAAAATTGATAGGGCAAATCTTTTTCTCTGGATGTAAAAGTTGAAAGCATATGTCCAAGTAAGGCTGTTAACTATTTGTAAAAACCGAAAGAAAACATTGTGTGGCTTCACTTTGATTACTTGTGAAGTAAAATGACACTATTAGTCCTAAATAGATTCAGTAATGTCAGGTGCACCTTTAAGTGCTTCAGATACCAAGCAATAATGACTATCTAAAAAGGAATAGTTTTAGGTATGTATCCTCAGCCTGAAATTAGACACTTAGGCTGAAATTCATATTTATATCCTTATTATTATAAAAATAACAAATATTTTTAATTTTCTAAAAAAATATTATTTATATAAACTTTATTTTTAGTTTTGATTAAAAGGGAAATATATTTAAACACCATAAAAACCTAACCAATGTAAAGGTTTATGAGTATATTTTTTCTTTCATTATAAGCCTACAGAGATTTCCTACATTAGAAATCTACAAAATTCATTACAAATGATTGGTAACTATTAGTAAATATTTATTTTTTAAGTTAGAAAAAGCAATATTTCATCTATTATAGTATATAATTTTTATTTGCAACATTTTTTGAAATTTATACTGTGAAAGATGTTTTTTTTTTTCCTAAAGTATACTTTAACTATCTTGCCTGAAGTAACAATACAATATATTTCAAAAAGAATACTATATGACGATTATATATTAGCTAAATGTTTTATACAAACAGATACAGAATTTTAAATATATATACTTATTAAATTAAGTAAAACATTCATGAAATTAAGATACCTAAATGTAGCAGTGTGCCATGCAGCAACAATAAGTGTATCAACAACAATGTCTACAGGGATAATATCGACCAAATATTTGTCATTGCAAATAATAGATCGAATAGTTCCTCGGGCTATTTCACACATGATTCCAGTTATACCAGCAAAATTGTCTACCCAGCCTGGAAAAGGTTCTTGCCAGGCAGCGGTTACTAAAAACAGATTAGTAAAAATCAATATTAACAAATTAAGATATGCCTGTTTTAATATATATGTGTGTATATGTATATATTATAATGTGTAAAATATATATATATATATATCAAAAGTTTTAAAATATACGTTAAATAAATATTAATTAATTAAGTTAATTTCTTCTGATAATACAACTAAAATTGTTCTTTAGTTAAAGCTTATATAATAATCATGTCCTTTCATGTATATTTTACTTAAACTAGTGTCAGGTATATTTACTTAAAATGTTACTTAAATCAACAAAACTTTTATTTTGTTTTTTATGTAGGCCAAATAAATCATATTTAATTTAAAAATAATTGACCATGAAACGATTTGATTGGTTATTTATAGATTTTTTTTTTCAATGCTCTATTGTTTTATTTTATCTACTCAGTATAAATTACTTTAATGGTTTTATAAATAATTTGAGAAAAATTATTAAAGCTTTCTGGTTACCAATTGATGGTCGAACTATGGCAATAGGTAATTCCTCAGCGTGTTGCTCTACAATAGATTCAGCCATTGCTTTAGTAACAGTGTACGTGTTTGGATGATTTTGAGTCAGTGCGATTGCTAGATGGTCCATCATCTCTGGAGAAACTTGTTGAAGGCAGGACACAATCCATTCAGGACTTGCAGGTGGTGGATAAACTTTTTCTTCAACTTCAATTTTATCAGCATTTGAATATGCAGTTGAGACGTGTATGACAGCCTGAAATGATGTATAAATATTATACATAAATAACATTATTTGACTATTTAGTATTCATTAAAGTGAATCATATTTAAGATTATATCTGGGGAAACAGCCAGCATAATATTGACTCTGTCTGTTTCGCATGTTCTTTACTATATACTATATCATCTTCTATATTTTTTCTAAGTGAATATAGCTGCCATATATTCATATAAAAAAAAAGAGAGAGAGAACATATACAAAAACTGAATATCATAGATGTTAAATATCATTAGCTCTTTATAGATCATGAAACATGATTTTAAGAACTTACACAAATATGGAAAGATGATAGGCGGATAAAACCTCAGTAAAAAGTCAACCAGAGCAATGAATACTTCAGAAACAAATTAAGATAATAATGATAAGATAAGATGCCTTCAGTCTGAGGATGGCCAAGGCTAAGCCATTGTTTTTCTTGCAAGATTCATTTACGATGTACTGACAATATTGTTCAAATGGTTAGCATCATATTGTCTAGATTACTACATCAAAAGTTGAAGCAAACCAAGAAGGCCCTAAAGAACTTAGGAGGAAATGATAAAAAAAGTGGTTACCAAAAAAATATTGGTATACAATATAAGGTGTTTATCATTTTCATTAACAGGGAATAGATCAGATCATTCAATTCAAATATAAAAAATCTGGCGCGTGCTAATCACAACTTCCGCTGCTCTATTTGAATAGAAATTATTTTCTGCCAATGTTGGGCTTAGGTTTGAGTCGTGTCCCACATTGACTGCCGAGGTGCAGGCATCCTCCTGTACATCGGCAGGCAATGTAAAGCCGTAGCGATCATATGATTGCGGAGCCTGAGACCAATCGTGCTCTGAGGTCAGGGAAGCAGCTTCCCGACTAAATTGGTACAACGGGGCGTCGCCAGAGCCCCGGCGGCGCTATGGGTGGACGGCGAGAGTGCTTGCACTGTTCGGCCGTGGCGGTCGTAGTGGTCGATGTGTTTACGACTACTCGCTGCACGACACCAGTGTTCAGCTATCCTTGACGTTGTTCAGGCTATCTTCTGGTACAATGTGTAGCGAGTGGACGGAAGTTATGGTAGTAGTAGTTGTCTTATTCCGTGGGCACCTGTTGTGTGCCTGCATTCTTGGTGGTGTACCCGGTCCAGGGAGTAAGGTTGGAGGCCGGTTAAGGCTCGTGCTAGGTATGGCTTCCAACCGATGCTCCCTTGGTCCATAGTGTACCCGGTGGTACTCTGCCAATGTTGGGCTATTATACAAATTTTGAAGTGCAAGTTTCAAGCTTGTTTTTGATGTGCAAAAAAAAAACAAGCTTGAACAAGCTTGCACTTGAAAAAAAAATTTGAAGTGCAAACTTTAACCGAGCTAAAGCTTAAAGGTTACAGCTAATGAATCAGTAATACCATTAAAATAACAAAAATCCTATTCATTGCATCAGCTGCTGATTAGGAATTGTACGATCCGTTGGTTATGGATTGTACGACTATTAATTATTATAAACTGTTATTTTCCACAGTAAAGTTCACTAAAATGGAGTAAAGAGATTTGCATTGCCTGTCACAGATAGGTCAAAAGTTGTCACACTAATTGTAAGGTGATACTGTTGGGATACCACAAAGAGAAAATTCATCAAACTATTCACTAATTTAGTTTTCTAAAAGTTTTGTTCAATTTGTAGTTAAAAATGAACCAAGGTTTCAAAGTTCCAATTTATAGAAGAGCGTGGAACTATACTAGTAGCATGTTTTTCACAATAAAAAACTGACTCTTGCTTCATTATTTTAGTACAGATTAGCATAGAACAGAGGCCAAAGTCTATCTGTTATACCTGACTATATGTGTGAAATTTTGTCACTGGTTGCTCTGCTATACAGCCATGTCTAAATAGATAGTGGTACGGAGAGCATGCTATTTCTAGCTAAATAAGTGGTTTCTTTACTTAGCCGTTTTTATTTTTAAATCTCTTGGGCTATGGTCAGATTTTCCAATCAAGTCCTTAACATCTGTAGATATCTATAGTGACATCACTGTTTTTTTTATGTCTGTGACAAGATTAAATGAAAATCACTGAGATTAACTCCATTGGAGAGATAAGTTTGGTCCAGAGTTCTCCAGGCTGGAACTGATGGCTATCTAGAGGTTTCTGCCAGTGCACTAACCAGAGTATATGTGTCAAGATTCATTACCTGAGGCCACTGGGAAATAAATATTAATTGATCCAGGTGGGAATCGAACTTATACAATGTTCAGAGCCAAGCACTCTCGGACTCACCTCCCAATATGTTTGGCCATCAGTTCTTCCCTCCAGGCTTAACATGTATTTTATTAGGGTATCCCATAAGTTTCTTCCTTTTTTTTTGCTGCAATGAGAAAAGATTTCAAAAGGGAATTGTTACCAATGAAATGTACTTTGAAAGAGCTGTGAGATGATGCCATAAATAAGTCTGCGTGTTTACAAACATAGCCAGCTCAAGGTCATACATTGTGAGGCATGGAAAAAACCTATGAGGCATCCTAATATTTTAACATTACTTTTCTTTATTGTTGTTTCTACCTACTCTTTTCACAATTATTCTGTAAATTAGGAATGAAAATATTCCTGAACCACTACTGCCTATTGTCCTTAACAATAAGATATATATTGTTATATTTGACAGTAAAATGACATTTTACATAAGGTATTTAAACATAAACGATAAGTAATTGTAATATATATACCGTATACAGACATTTCACAGGTATTCTTCAAGGAAATTTGATTAAGACCAGCAAAGTGGTTTTCAATAAATATTTTATATAATTTGAAGTTTTTTCTTGAGCCTGCCTAAGACCTCTTTCCTCATCATGTATATGGTCAAGCAATAAATATCAAAAAATAAATTTATTAAGAAATGCTTACTTACTGTTGTGCTGATATAGATAAAAAATCTAATATTTATAAAACTAATATATTTTAATCTTCAACTGACAGATATTTATTCCCTAACCTAATAGGTAATAACATTTTTTATTTATTTAACTCCCAATTTGATCATTTCAGTTATACTGAGGAAGGCGTGATATTCTGGAGATGCAATCTATTCTAAACAGATAGGAAAAGTCGAGATTCATTCTGTGAGTTCCCCACAAAATAAATTTCAATTAACACAGGAGTTGAACCAGTGCCAAAACTTGAGGTGGCCATGGTAATGACACCTTAAACATTTTGGCCACCACAACCTCAAACAATATTCATTAAGAATTTGTTACTAAACATTAATTGTTCCAACAAGAAGTTTGTTTGTTTGGGTTTAACATCCTGGTGTATTCCAGAGTACTAGGGGAAGAAGAATGGGTCATCCTACCAGTAACCACAAAATAAATTTAACAAGCAATTATTTGTTAAATAATAATCTAATAAGACAATAGGACAACTATTGGCTTTATTAATATTGTGATAAACATTTTATTACAAATCGCTCGCATTATATTATCAAGATTTCATATAATATATTTTTTACTAGACTAGTGCATAGAATGTAGAGTTTTACAAAGGACGTACAGCAATAAATCAATTATCATTATTTACACATTTATAAATGGACCAATGTTTTTATAGTAGAGTATATTAATGAACATAAAATTAATAAATATTAATTTTAATAAATTAAATAACATAAGTGTGGTCTTTAGAAATTCAGCACTAAAATATAAATAAGATACTGGAGTGCTCCGGAGTACTAGGGGAAGATGAATGGGTTTTCCTACAAATAAAAATTGACAGTTTTATAACAAAACAAAATTTATTAACTTCTATCAATTAACATTTGTTCGTATTTACATATTTACAGAAATTTACAAAATTAATTAATAAACCAATGAATATCTGTAAAACACATTCATGAATTCATTAGCATCAATTCCTCTTCATTTTCTTGGTCTTCAACTTCCATTTCTTCTGGTGATTCTGTTGCCTTACTTTTCAACTCCCCTATTCTTAACAGAAACTGAAGTGAATACTTGTTATGATCGCATGTTCGAGATAAATCATTATACTTCCGCATTAAATTTTTCTGAAGTGATACTAATAATGGTAAAGGGATATTTTTACATTTTGTAATCAAAGACTTTGTCCATAGCAAATAAAATTGAAAATGCTGACTATTTTCCAAGCTATTTGCAACAAAGATAAGGAGCTTTTCAATGTACACATCTGCAAATGAAAGTGTACATAATTCTATTTGATCAGATGGCACAGATTCAATTATTTCCTGTATAAGATTTGTCTCATTTAGTTTAATAGACATCATTAATGCTTCACTAAATCTTTCTTCATTTTTGGCATTTCTTATGCTTTCAGGTGTTATACTTTCTTCAAGCATAAAAGGGTCAAAAACTTGACCTGAATCAAGAGAGTAAATTAAGAGTCCTTCGGTACTTGCTGCAGCAAAAGACTGACCAGTAGGTGAAAATTGAATAGAATATATTCTAATTTCTGGTTTGAATGTTCTTGATGCCATGTCACCTTTTTTAGCACCTGGTAATGATATATCAGATATTTCACTTCTCCTTAGGATCAAATCTTTATTTCCAAATTCTGTCATTTTTCTCCTGTTTATAAAATCATCAACTGCATCAAATGATCGATTTTGGGTTACCTCGATCTTTTTTACAATAATTTCTTCTTCTCTATGATAAATGCAAATATACTTAGATTGGCCAGCAGCCAATAAATACTTTCCTTCAGCAGAATAACATAGACAAGTAAAAGATCTAGCTTCTTGTTTCCGTTTGGCGGTAATTAAATCTGTATCAGACCGCCCTACATGTAGATCTTTCTTACCTTCAATAAATCCTTTTTGCAGCCCTGTTTTGGGTTCAAACATTGATATTTGTCCATCTAAAGAAGCCACAGCGACTTCATTGCCATCGGGACGGTAAACAACAGCCAAACAATCTGAATTTATTCGTATAGCTTCATACTGCAAGTCAGTTTCAACAGCATTCCAGATCCGGAGT